AATTTCTTAAGTCATATGATTTGCCCATATTGAGTCAGGAGGATATACACAACTTAAACAGACCAATATCAAGGGAGGAAATAGAAGAAGACATCAAAAGACTACCAACAAAGAAAAGCCCAGGACCGGATGGGTTTACAGCAGAGTTTTACAAAACCTTTAAAGAACTAATACCAATACTTTTCAAGTTATTTCAGGAAATAGAAAAAGAAGGAGCTCTTCCAAATTCATTCTATGAGGCCAACATCACCCTGATTCCAAAATCAGACAAAGACACTTCAAAGAAAGAAAACTACAGACCAATGTCTCTAATGAACTTAGATACAAAAATCCTCAATAAAATTCTGGCAAATCGGATACAAAAACATATCAAAAAAATTGTGCACCATGATCAAGTAGGATTCATCCCTGGGATGCAAGGCTGGTTCAATATACGGAAATCAATAAATGTTATTCACCACATCAATAGACTTAAAGATAAGAACCATATGATCATCTTGATAGACGCAGAAAAAGCATTCAACAAATTACAGCATCCCTTTATGTTCAAAACTCTAGAAAAACTAGGAATAATAGGAACTTACTTCAACATTGTAAAAGCTATCTATGCTAATCCTTAGGCTAGCATCATTCTAAATGGAGAAAAATTGAAGGCATTCCCTCTAAAATCTGGAACAAGACAGGGATGCCCTCTCTCACCACTTCTATTCAACATAGTTCTCGAAACACTGGCCAGAGCAATTAGACAGATGAAAGAAATTAAAGGCATAAAGATAGGAAAAGAAGAATTTAAATTGGCACTATTTGCAGATGACATGATCCTATACCTAGAAGACCCAAAAGATTCTACAAAGAAACTTCTAGAGCTAGTAAATGAATTCAGCAAAGTGGCAGGATATAAAATCAACATGCATAAATCAAAGGCATTCCTGTATATAGTGACAAATCCTCTGAAATGGAAATGAGGACAACCACCCCATTCACAATATCCTCAAAAAAATAAAATACTTGGGAATCAATCTAACAAAAGAGGTGAAAGACTTATACAATGAAAACTACAGAACCCTAAAGAAAGAAATAGAAGAAGAACTTAGAAGATGGAAACATATACCCTGTTCTTGGATAGGCAGAACTAACATCATCAAAACGGCAATATTACAAAAAGTACTCTATAGGTTTAATGCAATGCCAATCAAAATCCCAATGGCATTTCTTGTAGAAATAGATAAAGCAATCATGAAATTCATATGAAAAAATAAAAGACCCAGAATAGCAAAAGCAATTCTAAGCAGGAAGAGTGAAACAGGCGGTATAGCTATACCAGACTTTACACTATACTACAGAGCAATAGTAACAAAAACAGCATGGTACTGGTACCAAAACAGGTGGGTGGACCAATGGTACAGAATAGAGAGCACAGAGACCAATCCACAAAAGGTGCTAAAAGCATGCAATGGAGAAAGGATAGCATCTTCAACAAATGGTGCTGGGAAAACTGGAAATCCATATGCAACAAAATGAAACCGAGTCCCTTTCTCTTGCCATGCACAAAAGTTAACTCAAAATGGATCAAGGAGCTAGGGATCAAGCCAGAAACTCTGAGTCTGATAGAAGAAAAAGTTGGCTCCAATCTCCATCTCATGGGGTCAGGCTCCAAATTCCTTAATTGGACACCTATAGCACAAGAGTTAAAATCAAGAGTCAACAAATAGGACATACTCAAACTAAAAAGTTTTTTCTCAGCAAGAGAAACAATAAGAGAGGTAAATGGGGAGCCTACATCCTGGGAACAAATTTTTACTCCTCACACTTCAGATAGAACCCTAATATCCAGAGTATACAAAGAACTCAAAAAAATAAACAATAAGAAAACAAATAACCCAATCAACAAATGGGCCAAGGACCTGAACAGACACTTCTCAGGGAAGGATATAAAATTAATCAACAAATACACGAAGAAATGCTCACCATCTCTAGCAATCAGAGAAATGCAAATTAAAACCACTCTAAGATACCATCTCACTCCAGTAAGAATGGCAGCCATTATGAAGTCAAATAACAAGTGCTGGTGAGGATGTGGGGAAAAGGGTACACTTATACATTGCTGGTGGGACTGCAAATTGGTGCAGCCAATCTGGAAAGCAGTATGGAGATTCCTTGGAAAGCTGGGAATGGAACCACCATTTGACCCAGCTATTCCCCTTCTCGGACTATTCCCCAAAGACCTAAAAAGTGCATACTATTGGGATACAGCTACATCAATGTTCATAGCAGCACAATTCACAATAGCTAAAATGTGGAACCAACCTAGATGCCTGTCAATAGATGAATGAATAAAAAAATGTGGCATTTATACACAATGGAATATTACTCAGCACTAAAAAATAACAAAATCATGGCATTTGCAGGGAAATGGATGGCATTAGAGCAGATTATGCTAAGTGATGCTAACCAATCCCTAAAACAAATGCTGAATGTCTTCTTTGATATAAGGAGGGCAACTCAAAACAGAGCAGGGAGGAAGAGCATGAGAAGAAGATTACCATTAAACAGGGATGAGAGGTGGGAGGGAAAGGGAGAGAGAAAGGGAATTGCATGGAAATGGAAGGAGACCCTCATTGTTATACAAAATTACATATAAGAGGATGTGAGGGGAAAGGGAAAAAATAAAGAGAGAAATGAATTACAGTAGATGGGGTAGAGAGAGGTGAGGGGAGGGGATGGGATGGGAGTGGGGATAGGGAGGGGATAGGAAAGGCAGCAGAATACAACAGACACTAGTATGGCAGTATGTATAAACGTGGATGTGTAACCAATGTGATCCTGCAATCTGCACACGTGGTAAAAATGAGAGTGCATAACCCACTTGAATCAAATGTATGAAATATGATATTTTAAGAGCATTGTAATGTTTTGAGCAACCAATAAAAATATTCTCTCTCTCTCTCTCAAAAAAAATCAAGTTTTTAAAAAAAATCTGTATGTAAAGACAAGACTAGAATAGCCAGAACAATTCTGAAAAAGCAGAATGAAGTTGGAGGAAATCTAAAACCCAATTTCAAGACTTACATTAATCAAGATAATATGGAATTGGCAGAAGAATAGATAAATACCTAAATGGTACAGAATAAGAAGAGAGAAATGGATCCACATGGACCAAGATAACTTATTTTTGTTTATTGCAGAAGGAATTCAATGTGAAGAGAACAATCTTTTGAAAATATGATACTGGAAAAATTTAAGCATTTATATGCAATAAGTTTTGCAACTTATATCAAAAAACATCTCAAAATGAATATAGATTCTATAGATATTTTATAGATACCTATAAAATTTCAGGATGAAAAGAAGAAAATCATCATAACCTTGTAAGGCAAAAAGTTTTCGACATTAACACTAAAAGAATAATCCATAACATTTTGAAAAAAAATGGATCTCATAAATTACTCATTGTTTATTCAAAATCCAAATTTAACTGGGCATCCTATATTTTGTCTAGTAACTATGTTAAAGTGAGAAACAAGTGAGTTGGTTCACAGGGTCTGTAAGTCAAATAAACCCACTGTCACACACAATCACCAAAGTGTTTCAAACAATACACATCTTAAAGGGAAATGCAGGGCTTTATTTATTTAAATCATAACCACGTGTGCTAGAAAAAATGAGTCAAGATCTGAAGAAATAAATTCCTGTGGTCCTGGACACTAACAAAATCTCTCTACTATTGAATAAAAATGATAGGCCTACTTGGCACTTATACAGTCAAAATGAAAATATTTAAAGAAATGGTGATTTGTATATTATTACTTTACATATCTGACAAATACAAGAAACAAGTATCAGCAATACTTCCCCATTAGAGGATTCACCTGGGTGTAGATAAGTTGGCATACCACCTAGAAAAGCAGGTCAAAATTTCACAAGAGAGATAATCTCTAAATGACTGATAGGTATTCTGGTATCTCCCTCCATTGACACCTGTGTGTATTAAGAATCTGTAACCCAAAACTTGAATCTATGAAAGATATTCATTTTTAAAAACAAACTGTAAGAATGATAAAAGTACAAGAAGTCTTGAACATATATATTCACAGTAGCCTTATTTGTAAAAGACAAAATAATTGGAAATAACTTGGAATTTCATCGACAGGTGAATGGATGAACAAGTTGTGATCATCCATACAATATAATATGTATAGCAATAAAAAGGGCTGCACTATTTTTATACACCACACATGAATCTCAACAGAATTATACTATATTAAAGGAGTCAGACAAATAATAGTATGATGCACATGGTATGGCATCACATATATACAATTCTAGAAAATACAAATAATCTTTATGAAAGCAAATCAATGGTTGCCTGGGGACAGGAGGAAGGAAAGAAAAGAGAATTTACAAAAGTACATGAAGACATTTTGGGGAGTCATGGATGTGTGAATTATACTGACTACAGGGGTAATTTCATGGGTGCATACATACATAAAATTTAACAAATTATTCTTAAATATAATGCAGTTTCCTGTATTTAAAAAATGCCTCAATTAGTGTTTTAAAGTCTACTTTTAAAAATACCACTTAAAATATTAGTAATAACTTTTAGTGGATATTTACATTTAATAACTGAACCATCTACATTTCAGGAGAGGAATCCTGGTAATTAGGACACCCACCATGCTGACTATCAAGTCTAAAACATTGATTCCACTCTTCTTTTTTTTTTTTTTGAGATCTTAAATAGACTGGGTAAGTGGCATAACTTCTGGAATTCAGGGAAGGAGAGAACATTTTCAACAATCTGAATAATGAAATTTGGAAGCAGATCCTCTCCCTTGAAATAGTTCATTGCCGGTTAGCTTTCTAAGTCCCCAGATATCATTATCCTGTGATAATTGTTGAGATCTTACAGAGTTAGAACTAAAGAAAGTCCTAAGCTAGACTTAAAGACGCAGGAAATATCCTTGTCCCCAACCACCATCTGTAAGCTGATCACTTACTTGAGCTCCAGAGTACAGAGAAAAATTTTTCCAGGTCTTTAACTCGTTGTCTCAGTGCCTGTAAGTAGTTCAGCAATGCTGCTATACCAGCAATAGACACCTCCTCTAAAGTCCAAGTTTGCACTTTATTTACCAGAGCTTACACCTATTATGTGCCAGCTGAATATTCCTTCCTACCAATCCAAAATCAATAGCCTTTCACAGAGAAAACAGCAAACCTTCTGCTTCATGCACCATAAAATCTCATATGCTCAAATACATATGCAGCTTACCTTTGCATCACTTGAAAGATCTCTGTGTTCTGTGTGCAGCAGACCTGCTCCAACGTGACATGCCCCGAACTAAGGTGATACCTGAGCCAAGGTATGTTATTTCATATATTTCCCCTTGTATCTTTCCCTGACATAATGCTACTGCTAGGAAAGATTTAGGGGAATTCCTTTTCTTATTAATAGTCATGCCCTGCAAATTACCCACATAAATATCATTTAGAATTTTCTTTTTTCACTCCCAACCCTATTGAATATCATCTTTTTAAGTTCCCAATATCAGTACTGTTTTCTTCCTGTACACTATATTCAACTTAGAGAAAGGCACAGGGAAGGCACATGGAAACAATTTAAATAATAAAAAATTTTAATAATTTTTAAGGCTTACTTTTAACTAGATAATAAATTTTTTTTAATTAGAGGAAACTAGTCAAGGCTTAGGCACCATCTTTTGGAAATTGTTTATCTGTATGAAATTTTTAGAGAATGTATTGTAAAAGGGGCATGGATAGAGGCCACAACTACCACAAAATGCAGATATAAAATGCAGGTCAAAATGTATATGCTAAGAAGGAGAGGACCACAGACAAATTCCTGAACTCTCCTTATCTCATAGAACACTGAGCTTAGTCCAGACACAGCTGGGCTATTCACTGAGGTCAGTGTTCTGTAGAAAGGGACCCCTGCTACTCTAGTGCCCTGTGTATTTAGGGAATCAAAAGAAAGAAACACTTATGTGACTCTAAAACAAAGATAACTCCGCTATTGGTTGTAGTCTGTTCTGTTGAGCTAACTCAGACCTACTGAGCCATCTCTCTGCTAAACTAAATGAAAGGAGCTAGAAAACAGAGCCACACCTACCTTTTCTTTATGAAAACTGGCACTTGAGGGATTGACACATTTTTTGTTCCATTGCTGGTCACTTCCTGGGGGGAAAATGAAATATTATTTGGGGCAAGTATCCATATTTGTGACAAGAGAAAGAATTCCTTACTCCATGCCTCAAAGCCCTACCTACATTCAAGGATGGTACCATTTAACGTTGACAGAGTTCCATCACTTCCCCCTTGGAATTTAGCAGGTCTAAATTATTCTGGGATCAGTATAATTTGCTTCACAGATAACCAAAGTTGATATCCTTTCATTCACATAAACTTTTGAGCTACTTAATGGTTTCCAGCTAAGTAAACTTGCTAGAATTTTTATTGAACCAAAACTAATATATTGAGACTTCAGCCCACAATCCTAAGTGTTGCTCAACTTATTTAGCTTGTCTTTAATTTACATGATTACTAGCAAGGATAATAAGTTCTTGTTAGACATTAGGGATTTCCCTTTCTGAATATCACATAGTAAACATTTGTCTTAGTTGAGGCACCTGGGAAACTGACTCCAAGTTGTAGAATTGTGTGTAGGGTTAGTTGGTTGGGGGCATTTCCTCAGGATTAACATCAACGGTCAAGTGAAAGAAGTAGGATTTAGCAGGAAGAATTCTAGAATCGTAATGGAGTCACAACAAAAGTTAATCCTCCAAGAAGCTAGAGTTGTCCGCCAGGGTTGTTGGGCCTTAAGACAAGGGTGCCAGGCCTTTATTCTACCACAATAACCAGTCATTGGTATAAGCTGCCTTTGTGCATGAAGAGGGTACGAGAATAATGATGAGGGAGCTTGCCTTGGCTGAAGACAATTTCCAGAGAAACACTTAACTGAGAAATTGTGACTACCAATTCTCCCAGCAACATAGGGGATGGGTGTCTCAGAACTATAGGGATAGCTGGGTAGCTCATGAGAGCGTCTACTGTGTACCACTCAGTACATTGTTTTTGTTTTTTTAAAAGTTTTTGGTAATAAATTATAGTTTTAAATAATAATGGGCTTCAGGCTGAGGTTGTAGCTCAGTGGTAGAGCATTTGCCTAGCATGTGTGAGGAACTGGGTTTAATCCTCAGCACCCCATAAAAATAAATAAATAAAACAAAGTTATTGTGTCTACCTACAACTAAAAAAATGAAATAAAATAATAATAATAATGGGCTTAATTTTGACATTTTTATATATGCAGGTAATATTTGCTCCATTTCAATCTCCAATAATTCCACGTTCCCTCCTCTCCGTCCCACCTCTGCTCCCTTTCCTTTATTCTAGTGGTCTTCCTTCAGCTTATTCACTGTTTTGTAATTGGTGCTTTAAAGATATTCTTAAAAGTTTGATTCATTATGATATATTCAGTCCTTCACATTGATCACCTTCATCTCCTCCACTGTCCTCCCTTCTATTTTTCATGGAATGCCTCCCTGTTAAAAATTACTTCTCTCTAGATTCTGCACATGAGCGAAAACACTGGACCATTGACTTTCTGAGTCTGGCTTCTTTCAGGTACCATGCTTTTCTCCAGCTGATCCATTTACCATCAAATGGCATAATTTCATCTTATGACTGAATAAAACTCCATTATTATATATGGGACATTTTCTTTATCTTTTCATCCGTTGATGGTCACCTGGTCTGGTTCCATAACTTCATTATTGTGAATTGTGCTGCTATGAGCATTGATATGAATGTATCATTATAAGATGCTTATTTTATTTCTTTTAGATACCAAAGAGAGGAAAAATTGGTTATATATTGGTTGCATTCCTAGTCTTTTTTTTTTTTGGCGGGGGGGAGCGGTGAGCAGTACCAAGGATTGAACTCAGGGGTACTTAATCACTGAGCCACATCCCCAGGCCTATTTTGTATTTTATTTAGAGACAGGGTCTCACTGAGTTGCTAAGCACCTTGCCATTGCTGAGGCTGGCTTTGAATTGCAATCCTCCTGCCTCAGCCTCCTGAGCTGCTGGGATTACAGGTGTGTACCACGGCACCCTTCTTCATTCCTAGTCTTTTAACGAATCTCCATACTACTTTCCAGAGTGATTGTTAAAATTTGTAGTCTCATCACAATATATGAGTGTATCTTTTCCCCCATATCCTTTCCATAATTATTATCTGTATCCTTGATGATTGCATTGTAACTTAAGTGAGATTAATTAATTTGATGCCATCCCACTTATTGATTCTTCATTTTATTTCTTGTGCTTTAGGAGTCTTTTTAAGGTCTTGTTAAGTTGGTGCTGTTCCAATAAGTCGGAGTGTTTGCCCTATGTTTTCTTAAATCAGACTTTATTCTCTTTACTTGGATACTCTTCTAGTGAGATTCATTTATTCACTCATTCTGATTTTTTTCTTTTATATGAAATATTTCACTAAACATTTTCTGTAGCACTGGCTTAGTGTTTGTGAATTCATTCAGTTTCTGCTCATCTGTGAAGATTTTTATTTTATTCTCAATTCTCAGGAATAACTTTGCTGAATATGACAATCTTGTTTGGCAACCACTGTGTTTCATGGTTTAGTATATATTCCAAGTCCTCCTGACTTTTAGAGACTGAACTGAGAGATCAATGTGACATGCCATTTTTCTCTTTCAGCTTTTAAAATTCATACTTACTCTGTATATCTGAAATTTTAAATATAATGTGTATTGGAGAGGATCTTTTTTGCTCTTACCTTTTCTATTTGGGTTTCCATCACATTTCTAGAGTTTGGAATTTTTGTGATAGTTTTTGCCCAGAAAAGTTTGTGTAGTCCTTTAGTTTCTATCTTGGTGGCTTCTTCTATGCCAATGATTCTTATGTTTGGTCTCAATGTTATCCCAGATTTCTTTTATATTTTGGTTGTGGTCTCTTACCATCTTTTCTTTATTGCTGACTTTGTTTTCAATATTATAAACTTTGTGTGTTTCTTTGAGGCCTGAAAAAAATCTGTATTATATGTGATCTAATCCATTGTTGATACTTCCAACTGAATCTTTAATGTATTGAGTCATTTATTTCCAATATTTCTGTTGGATTCTTTTTCAGAATTTCTGTCTCTTTATTGAAATGTTCTTCTACTTACTAAATTTTCTCTTATTTCATTCCTTAGATCTTTTTTTTTAGTTTATTGAGCATTTTAACTACCAATTGTCTGTATCAGTGACTGGGGTCAATAACTCTGAAGATAAACATACAATCTAAGCCAGATGAGATTACACAATGTTACAAATATGTATGTATGTGTGTATATGTATGTATATTATATATATATATATATATATATATATATATATATATATATATATATATATATATTCCTTCCTCCCTGGCTCTGCTTCCCTGCCACCATGAACTGAACAGCTTACCTCCACAAGCGTTTTTTCCATATTGTTCCAATTCAGCCCCAGAGCACGGGAGTCCTTTGACAATGAACTGAACCTCTGACACTATAAGCCAAAATGAGCTTTTCCTCCTTTAAGTTGTTCCTGTTGAATATTCTGGTCACAGCAATGAAAAGTCGACTCTTATGATTTAGATTAGGTGTCCCTCAAAAGCTCAGTGAGACAATGGGAGAAAGTTTAGTGATGAAATGATCGGGTTATAAAAGGTTTAACCTAATCAGTGCATTAATCTCCTGAAAGGGATCAACTCAGTAGTAACTACAGGCAGGTGAGGGCAGATAGCAGAGGTGGGTCACTGGGGGCATGGCTTTGGGGTTTGTATTTTGTTCTTGTTGAGCAGAGCTCTCTCTCTCTCTCTCTCTCTCTCTCTCTCTGCTTTCTGGGTGCCATTTTCCCAGCTACGTTCCTCAGCCATGTCTTTCTGCCATGAAGTTCTGCCTCACTTCACATCCCAAGGAATGGAGCAACTCTCCATTGACTGAGACCCTTGAAGCTGTGGGCCCACAAACAAATTTTTTCTCCTCTAAATTTTTTCTTGCCAGGTCTTTTGGCCACAGAAGTGTAAAAGCTAACTAAAGCACTGACAAACACAAATGGTATAGCCACTCTGGAAAAGAGTAGAGCCCTCAAAAATTAAAAATAGAAT